TTGATGGGCATTTGGGCTGTTTCTACCCTCTTTTTTTCCCTTGGTTTGACACAAGTTTTCACTCTGCAGAGCTAGTTTTTCTTATACCCATTTACCCTCTGTTTTTCAAATAAACTTTTTAGCACTGTTAAAAAACAGAGCAAAACAAACAAACAAAAAAACCAGAGCAATATTTAATTATAAACTATATTTAAATTATATCATTGTAATTGTTTTGCATGTGATTACAATATCAGATTGAATTTATAATTAAATGTATCAATCCTTATCATGATGCCATTTAATCTTTTTTTGGGATCTTTTGAGACAGGGTCTTGCTATGCACTTCAGGCTGGCTTTGAGCTCACTTTGTGCCAAGGCTGGTCCTCCTGCCTAGCCTCCCTAGTGCTGTGATTACAGGCCTGTGCTACCATGCCTGGTTTAATAATAGTAGCTAAGATTACAATCAATTATTTCTACACTGAGTCAGTGTTCTGTCTTTATGTTGTTCCCAACTGTTGTCCTGCTTTCTGGTTCTGTAGGAGGTAATACGTGCTAACTTTAAGTTCAGTTTAATAAATGTTTACTGATCTAGGTACTGACCACTCTGGAAGGAACTTGACTCAGTCCCTTTCTCTTGGGAGTTCCCAGTTGAGTGGCGGAGGTGGATGCTTAGCTAAAGAAGCTGAGCACAGTGAGAGCATAGTCATACATAATGCAGATGTTAGTGTGGTGGGACAAGATCCTTTGGTGGAGCGCTGTGCTGGTGCACAGCAGACTGTATCCACTTTCTGTAGCTGTGTAACATGCCCTCCATGCAAGGCAGCCTGGCTATCCTGACCCTTCTTGGCAAGTTGGTGGATGCCATCCCTGTCCTGGCTGATGAGCTCGTGAAGGAGCATGGTGAGTAACTGATGTGGGAAACCTGTTTTGGTTACACTGCCCTTTGGTGGCCCGCTAACTTTCCTGACCTTCCCTAGCCTTCAGTTTTCCTCCATTGTGTTCTGTATTGGTCAGTCTGAAAAAGTCAGATTTTTTTTTATTGTGACCTTGGGCTGTTTCCATTCATTCTTTTAACACAAAGTACCTACTATGACCTTCCTTTTGTATGGAAGGAAGAATTATTCTGAAGCATAAAAGTACTTCATTTTATCAGTGAAATGCAAATAATTTTTTTTCATCCAAGGTTAAATCATTTAAGTTCTCAAAGCTTTGACTTTCTTGGTAAAGCCTTTAGAAAGTACTTATTATTATTTTTTTTCAAAATTTTATTGATAAACAGATAGCAATGAGACAGTTTCAAATCAAATTGGAAGTACAGATTCAACAAATAACACACTGCATATATTCTTCTTAGTGGTTAATTGCTGT